GTATGGAGGAGCAGGTTAGTGGTGTTCGGGCGTTGCTGCAGGCTCTCCTGTTTGTTGTTTCTGTTATGTGCTTGCTTGAGTGAAAGAACACGGGGGCAGCGTATCTCATATCAAGGTCTCATTGGAGAGGAGGAATGTCGCGGGGAGGAGGAAGAGGAGGCAGGCAGGGTTTCATGGGTTAGAGGAAGAATATTAAAAGAAGGAATGGGAGGAGGAACGTGGGAGTAAGGTCTTCTATAGGCGGGCGACGTCTGCAACGATAACACCCCTTCATCTCTTTGGGCTACCTGCGAGGGGCAGTTGACAGGCTCAACGATTTAGTCTCGTGATGTGGTTTGGAGTGTTGTGACGGTAATTTTAGTTGCGGTCCTGTTATCTTCATTCTGTCCTTTGGGATGGTTGAATAGTCGTCAACCACATACAACTGTATTGTTTGGGAGCCGATGAAGGAGGAGGTGAGGTTTGGGGAGAGGGGGGTTGCATTTATGGATGTCGAGGGTAAGTTGTGTTCGTCCTCTTCACATTTTGGAGCAGTGATTCTGTGATGACCTTGATGAGATTCTTAACGATGTGATTCTCAGATTGTTTTGTCTGGTTTAATACCTATTAGTCCCTCTAACCTTGAATTTTAGATATGCAACGAAAATATAACTAATAACTCTGATTCTGAGGCTTGACAATCAAGATTAAATCAAGATTAAATCAAGATTAATCTTGACCTGGTTTGGTTGCCTAAATCTGACTTAGTTTGTTTGCCTATTTCTTTCGAATTTTACATCGTTAGCCGTGTCAACTGTCGTATGTTTTGTTGCTGAATTATTTCCTAGGCAATACTTTTAGTCTGAGATTCGTAAAATCAGAGGTCAGACACCTCTGATTTATTAAAAGCTATTTTCAAATTTTAACTCAATCTCTTTTGATCTTCTGATTTGTCTTAACGCTTCAATTCATGAGGTACGTAATCTTGATTTCGAAATTCTAGTCACTGTGTGTTCCTGTCTCTTATACACATCTAGATGTGTATAAGAGACAGGTGTGTGTGTGTGTGTGTGTGTGTGTGCGTGTGT